ACGGAGTGGGAGGAAGGACTTCGACTGCCACTTTATTGTTTGAGACAAGGGTTTGAATACTTTTCAGTAGAGGAGGTGGAGTCAGGACACATGATAATTGGGATCACCTGACTGTAAGGCTAGTTTTGGGGTCAGGTGCACCTTTTCTCAGAATCAAGAGAAAGTCCTTGTAATAAACAATTCCAGGAAATACCACAGATACCCAAGCTCTTACAAGGGGGAGGCGGAGGTCAGGACGCCATGTCCCTGCACTATTGTTTCCAAGAAACATTTCACTGACAAAGATATCCAGACTGAGAATCAAATGAAAATGAAGACATAACAGAACACTGGGATACAGCTAGAGCAGCTGTAAGAAGAAATCTTACAGCTACAATCTGCTTATATTAAAATATCAGAGATGTCGCAAATAGATAAACTAATGATGTAAGCCAAATTCTTAGAAAAAGGACAAGCCAGTGCCCAAAGCAGTAGCTGGCAAGGAATAATAAAGAGAGGGGAGAAATTAATTCAGTGGAGACTAAAAGAACAACATACAGAACAAAAGGAGTAACTGGGCATTTTCAAAGTTCAACAGTATTGACACACTCCTAGCCAAACTAATCATGAGCAAGAGAAGATCCAAATTATAATAAACTAGAGGTGAAAAGGAGGGTATTACAGCGATAAAACCTAGAGGACAGTCCTGGAATCCTTTTAAATGTATATTCCAAAAAAATGGAAAAACCTCAAAGAAATAGATAAATTCCTAAACAAATATGGCCTGCCAAAATTAAGTCACGAAGATATAAATAAGGTAGAACCATAGAAACACTAATTTTTCTTCAGTGAATTGGGAAAAGGACATTCCCTGGAGAGGCTTGGCCATGAAGTTCATGAGGAAGAAAGGCTAAGTGGGGAGCCTGAGAGTGGGGACGCCCACTAAACTTGCCTGTGGGGTATATGTGTGCCTGTGGGTTTTTTTTTTTTTTTTTTTGTGTGTGTGTGTGTGGTGTGTGTGAATACATGTTTGTGTGTAAGAGAAGGCTGAGGAGGGAGAGGAGGGAGGTTAGAACAGAGATCAACAGCTGTCTGGTGGATGCACTGTGATGTTCTTACATAGTACCAGGCCAACATGGCACTACCATTTTGACCCTACTATTCCAACTGTGAGATCTTGAGCAAGTTACTTTGCCTCTCTGTGCATTAGGTAACAAAGTTGCTGCTTGCTGTGCAAATAATAATATAAGCAAAGAGCTTGAAATAGTTTCTGGCCCACAGGAAGTTCTCAATACTACTACTTATTTAATTGTGTGTGTGATGCGTAAATCAAAGCCTGTAGCAAAAGTCTTAGAATCACTAGATCTATAGCTCCTTCCACATTTTAAAGGTTGAACTAGAAAAACATTTCCAATAAAAATTTTCCAATCTGGGGTAGGTGATTTCATCACTTGGTCCTGAGGTGGCCTATCCAGACAAACAGCTGACTGCCTACTGCTCTCTAGTGGCAGAGTGAGGGGAATTTTCATCTGTACAATAAAATGATTCAGAAGAATGAATTCATTTGCATCATGTTGGTCACCAAAAGTATCTTCTACATATATGGTTGTTAAAAACTCCTGCATGGACTTATTATTTATGTTCATAGTAGCTAAATTTTTTCATTAAAGTTATAGAACAGATGTTCCTCTTTTAGGGAAAAGGTATATTTATGAAGTTTTCCTATATCTGACTCATCCCTACATTGCTGTAAAACTAAAATGTCAGTTGTTAACAATACTTCATTAACAGTATCTCTCTACTCCATAATAACTAGATCACATCCCCCTTATACAATATGTGATAGGAAGAAATGGGAAGCGGGAGAGAAAGACGGAATTAAACACATCCAGCGGTAACATGGTGCCTGGAGAGTCTCTCTTTCAACAGAGACATGGGGAACAACTGACAACAGATTTATCAGTCACACTGACAAGTATAAATTATATTTTACAACATGTATGCATGTTCTACCTCCTCCTCTAGCTCTTAAAGATCTATCGAGTCTAATTTGTGTTCCCCAAATGCTCTTGGATGTGGGTCTATCCCCTGGAGCCTGGCCAACCTTCCAGGCATCACACTCTTAAGTAAAACTGACTCTCCCTCTCTCAGCAGCTATCAGTTGCCAATAGTTCCTTGCGGATGTGGGCTTTGGTTATGTGTGAGCAGAGCATTACTTTAAGCATAAGCCCTACCTAGACAAAACTGACCAGCCCTCTCCAGGAAGACTAAGTTAAAAACAAAGGCTCAAAAACTCCAAACAAATAATTTCAGTTTTGTATATTCCTGCCTTGTCTTTGTATGAATATATTCATATAATTTCTTGTTCTCTGGATGCAAAAACAAAACAAAACCCCAGTGCTAATCACTGTTCCCAAAGGCTTTATTTTATGACAGCTGTCACCTTACAGAAAACCCCCCAAATTCCTTCTGGCTTTGGGGCCTGTGCTGCTGACCAGATTATCCAATTTTCATTTCCCCTTAAAACCTCAAAAGTTCCTACTTTTAGTTTACTAGATATGTAAAATCTAAAATTACATCTTTGTTTTCCCATGTTGAGTAATAATAAAATTTCCTCAGGCAGGACCATGATGGGATAATCCAGTGCTCACTAAAAACGAAAACAAAAAATAAAAATCTGAGAGGAAAAACAGCAATTTATGTCTTTTGGTTGGCTTCGTATCTACCTCATCATTTAACAACCTCTTACTCTCCTAAAATTATAGATGTGATAAAGAACAATGCACTGTTGCCACGTTTAACACTTGTACATTTTATTTAATTAAATCAGCCATTGTACAACATTGCAGCTATGTATTGTTAATGTGTTGTATTTTTTCCAATAACTAATACATGCCCTCATAGATATATTCAATTAGTGTTATCACCATGGGAACAAGATGCTGATTCATCAACTGGAAATTCACTTCTCACAGTATTCAAGTTTTTTGATAACACAGCAAAAATCAAAACTGAAAAAGGCGAATAACCATTATGTTGCTACACAGACAGAATCTGCACTGCAAATAACACAACAGCAAGGCTTTTCTTGAGCTCCAGTGAAGGTTTAATAAGATAGCCATGGCATGTCTCATAAAGTTTGCCATGGGCCTCCATCCTTTGGCTACCACACAATGCTGTGTTCCTATGTAACTGCCAGGAAGTGCTAGCATTGGAGGTGCAGGAGATTTGGCTTATGGGAAAACCTCCTTCCCAGGAAATTTTCTCTCTTGGCAATGTTAAATGATGAAGTGCCATTACTTGTCATACTTGTTTTGGACATTAGGAGCAGTGAATCAGTTTTGCACAACAGGAAGAAACCAGATGGAACTGGAAAGAGTTCAATCCCTGGAGGATAGACTATGTCTTTAAACTTCATCTTCATTTGAGTATACATTAACAAATAACAGATTCAAAATGTATACTGCTTTTATGAATATATTTGTGAATATATATATATATATTAAAATGCTACACAGCTCCAATCACTCAAGAAATTGGAAATAGGAAATGGGGATAACTCAGATTGTTATTGTCCCTTCTTTGAAACAAACAGAAAAGTGCACAAATGCACTTCAGAGTTTCCAAGGGCATTTGGGCTTCAAATAAATGAACCAAAAAAAACAAAAAAAATTAGCCAAAACCAAACTCTCCCCGGATTTCTCGATATTGTCTGCATGCTGAAAAGCAGACCTACCTGGAAAGTGAAAAGAGCTCCCTGTGGGGAGAAAGATTGAAAACCATTAGTGTGAGTAAAAGAATGATTTTTCTCTGTGTGTGTTTTGTGTGTGTGCATGTGCATATCTCTGTGTGTCTCGTGTGTGTGTGTGTGTGTGTGTGTGTGTGTGTGTTTCAATGTCACATGCAAGTATCAGTGAAAACATAAACTGTAATGGGGACAGGAAAAAAAAAGAAACTACTTCAACATGGTGGAGATGTTCAGGTTTTTGTGTGGTGGATAAATCCTGTTTCCAATTAATTATCTACAGTGCAAGTGGCCAGAAGAAAGTACCACCAGTAAGACAGTGCGGTTTGCTAAAGCAGCAATGAGACTGGAAAACTACAGTAGTTATAGCTTTTAAAATACCCTGCCAATGATCAAAAGGACCTGAAGGTGCTAGAATGCCTCCCATGCAGCTTCTACCACCTGAATACCTCGTTGTTTTGATCTGCTTACCTCTGCTCCTTTTTCCCTCTCCCTTAAAGTGGCAGTTGGAGAGCCATTAATGATGGCTGACCAGCACCAGAGATTGCTCCTTGGAACCATCCTTCAAGATAAGGAGCAATGGCTATGCTGGAAGTGCTAAGGACATGTGTAGGTCTGAAGTATTTGCATTGTCATTCAATTGTGTTAACAATATTTAACCATTGTTCAGCAACTTCTAGAGGCTTTTATTCCATGGTGCCCAGAGTAGTTATAACAGGCAGTGGTTTTAGTTTTACTCTGTTGTTCATCTGAGCATTTCAGCTATATACATTGTACATGGATATCCATGGAAAGGATTCTCCCACTTGAAGAGGTCTGCAGGTGAAGTTCTTCTGATTAATGGGTTTTCATTGAGCTTGTGTAAAAGCAAAGAACAACGGAGGTGCCAGTTCCCAGGTTAGCATGGATGCACAAAGTAGTGGATACAGTATCCAGAATTAAGGATGTTATCTTTGGTCACAAATTAGCTTAGAGAGAATTGGGGAGAAGCAAAACAAAATGCTTTGTTTTTGTTAGGAGTGGATATCAGAGGATTCCATTAATTAGGGCACCTGTAAGAAAATGGGAAATTGCATATTAAGTGGGTGTGTGGTTTCTTCTGTAAGAACTGGGCAGTCCCTCATTTGGCCTCCTGCTTTGCATTCCCCTTGCAGAAATGGCGAAGGAGTTGCTGGAGATCGTGCTGGAGGTCATCCTGGTCTAGTGCTTCTGGTACATCCTCCAGATGCTCAAAGTCAATGTGTTTCCCCTGCTGGTCCTTCACCACAGCCCTCTTCTGTGTGCTGGCTTTAGTCATTGTTGTCCTGCAGGAAACACAACAGAGAATTAGGCTTTCTTTATCCTGACATTCAAGTACATTCTTACTTCCACATGTATTATTATTAGTGTAATGACTACAGGTGTCTTTTAATCTCTTTCTCTCCTATGTGAAATGACTCATAAGGCTTTAAAATATATTTTGGAATAAGTATTATTTTCTTTAATTTTAGAAATAAATGACACCATGTTTTCATCTAATTTTCTCAAAAAGAATCCAAGCCATCATTCCTTTTTCAGTTAGGCTGTAGTGATCTAAAAGGTTCTCCTTTACGCTGAAATAATGATTCCACAAAGGCACACAGAACAAGCTAAGAAAAACTGTTTTTAATTCACTCAAAAATATCTTACTTGCCAGTTTAATCTTTACAAGTCTCTTCTCAACCTGAACCTTCCCAAATTTTTCTTTAGTAGAACTTTTCCATACGATATAAATCTTTAAAAACTGGAATAGTCTGTCAACATACAAGAAAGGGACTAACAAAAATGAGGCCTCTGAAGTTTCTTTGGAGAAGGACAGGGAGGGAGAGGAAAGGGAAGGAAATTCCGAGAGTCCAATGTCACCTATGTCTCCTCAGGACCTCCATGTGCTTTTCTCCTACCCTACCACACCAGTCAGCAGGTCCCTCTTTCACTGCTTCATCAGATGGTTGGCTCCTTGAGAAAGAGGTTGTAACTGACTCATTTCATACAGTTATTTTCTTATATCCCTACTTAAAAAAGATATTGTAATTTGCTGTTTCTATGTTTTCCTCACATACAACTTGTAATTCTTCATTCTGCAAATATATATTGGATGTGTTTTATGTAGCATGCACAATTATTATAATAAGGAAAACCAATCTTAGAGAATTTAGACAACATTCCTCAGCTGAAAAAATAAAACCAAAAGAGCATTAGCTAAGGGTCCAGGGTTCCTCAATGTAGATCCAAAACAGGAAGTCATGTATCTTTCCTTCCAATCAACAAAGGGGAGGACCAGTGTTGGCAGCCTAATTCCTCATTTTCCTTATGAATTCTTAGTGTTTAGAAGCTAAAAGTTCTGTTCTACCATAACAGTGCCACATACTCATTACGATGATGCTCTTTTAAAACCTTACCCCATCCACAGCACTTCCAGCTCACCTTGGCTTCCCTTGCCCTACTCTCTCATGACTTCTTAGATATTACATGAGTTATTTTGCATGTCATGGCAAACTTAAATTTATTTCCTTTGACAAAATGGCCAAATTTGATTCTAGAGGTTGTAATCACATTATGGTTTCTTTCTAAAAAATAGTTTAGTATTTATTTATTTTATGTGTATATAAGTGCACCTGTGCCACACAATGCCCACAGAGGTCAGAAGAGGGAGTTGGATTCTCTTAGAACTGGAGGTACAGACGGTTATTAGTTACCATATTGGGTGCTGGGAATTGAACCCAGGTTCTCTGCAAGAGCAGCCAGTACTCTTAACTGCCGAGTTATCTCTCCAGCCCCAGATTATGGTTTTTAACTATTCACATTCATTACTGCTTCTTCCCTCCATAAAAGGCAAAGATCTGACTCGACTAGGTGTTAAGAATGATTTTTATAGCTTTGGTGTCAGGGGATAGGATTGTAGTCAGGACATGTCTTAACTTTTCTTCAGGTCTATGCAGGTGAGTATGTTTATATATATATATATATATATATATATATATATATTAATATGACTTCAGTAATATGTAAAATTAAGTGTTATATACTATAAATAGAATTCCACAATAGACTTGCTATAGGAACTCAATCAAGTTGTCTCTATCCTCAGCTTCAAAGTCCACCACTGTAGGGAGAAAGTGAGTCAACTGCTCTTCAAACTTATTTTAATTTGAAGATCCTGTGATGGAAGAGCATTCAGTGTTGTGCAGCTTTGTCTGAACAACTGGATAAAAGAATTAAATATTTAGAATAGAAGAATTTTATCCCCAGTCCTTGTGGTCTCTTAAAATTCTTAGGAGAAAACTTGTATTTTTTAAATTCATAGCTGCTACTGTGTTTCACATTTGAGCAAAGGGCAGAATTGTGACAGAATCTTTAATCTGGCTCTTTTAAGTACTATATTCCAGAAACCTAATGTAGTCTTGTGGGGTACTGTAAATGGCAATCTTTCTCTTCTTTTAATGAGATGAAAAGCACGATAGTAACTTGGATTCCCATTGTATCTTTCACTGAGAAGCTAAGAATTATTGATTAATCCTGATGCTTACCATTTTGCTACAGGACCAAGAGAAGTGAGAATAATGCCTAGTTTAGGCATCAAATCTGTGATGGAACAGGGCAGTTCACTGTGCTTCAGAGTCAACAACCTTTCACACACATGGAAAAGTCTGCTCATACTTTCACATGTTCTTAACTTACTAAAGTTCCTAGTTTCAGCAGTGTTAGGTACATTCAGGATATTTGAAATCAAACACATGCTCCCATTTCTTGACATTCACATGCAGAGTCATGAAACAGTTTGTTAAAAGCCAAAAACAAGTACCACTCAAAGCAATAGCAGAATAAGACTTAGCTGGATATGATGAATTACAAGTTAATTTGTGAGCAGCTCATTAGATTCCTCTTCATATCATCTCCAAATCTATCAGTACAATGGTATTTCCCATCTGCTTGGCTTTAACTACATGGGTAATTTGCTGGAACCCAGGGAGTCCAATTGTGTAAACACGTGCCTCACCATCATTGTGTCTCAGTATTAATTTTAAAGCATCAGTGGACACTCCAGTTGCAACACACACACACACACACACACACACACACACACACACACGCACGCCTGCACGCACACACACCTGTGCCTCATCAGTGCCTCTGATACAGTACAGTCAGCAGCTCAGAAGGACTATCAAGTTATCTGGGGACTCTGACCTTCTTTTCTAAAATTAGAAACTATTTTTATCATGTTAGTTGGCAAAGTATCATCCCATGCTTAACTCAAACCTTTTAATTATTGATCCATCCTCATTCAGGATTTCATTCTCTACTAAACTGGGGAAGTGGACTTTCACGTGGCTACCTGTGTAACTGAAAGCCTGAGGTAATAAAAAAGAAAACAAGACATAACCATAGATCATAAACTTGCTCTACTAATTCTGACAGGATGAAAAGATGTATCTAAAAGGGCAAATAGCAACTCCTAGTATGTAATATGGGTACTGAGTTTACTTAACAAGTCCCTGAGATCAAACTCAAAATGTTTCAAAAGTAAAGATATTTTGTATATATCTACTACCTCTTCTTGAAAGCAAGAACCTACTCTTGAAGCAAACCCACTTCAGAATTTAGAATTCAGAAAAGTAATACAACATATTTACTATATATTATCAATACCCCAGAAGTAATAGAGAGAGCATCCTATAATCAAGCCCACTTTATTTCATTAACAAAACATGAAATTTCAATCTAAGTATATAAGAAGTTTCATGTCTTATCAACTTGACCACAGCTTGTGTCATTTGATGTAAAATTCCATGCTGGTTTATGCTGAGTCATATTACCTTGCTGTTAACTTAGAAAACTGGTTTTACTTTTTCAGAATTTTTGGAGTTTCGAATCATAGCAAGAGCCTGTGGTTCTGATACTAATAACCCATTTCCTAATTGTTGAGAACCAGAACATTATTAACTATAAATGATTTTAAGTTAAGACATTCAAAAGACACCTAGTTTTCCTTAGTGCTGATTATTGGCAATATTGAAGATACTAGCTATCAAAGATAATTTACATCTTTATTTTGTCGTCTTATTAACTGGAAGTGCAGGACATTTCTTCAACTTTCATTTATTTACCTCTTTGTTTGCTTACATATTTATTTATGGAGATATAATCTCACTATGTAGCCCAGGCAGGTCAGAACTCATTATGTAACATAAGCTAGCCTCCAACTTGCAGAAATCCTCCTGTCTCTGAATGCTGGCGTTACAGGTGTAAGCCATCATGCCAAGCAATTGTAACAAACATGTCCAAATTCTGGAGATTTTAATTCTGCCCCAACAGAAATGAATCCTGGCTATCTGAATTTTTACAAGCTCAAGCTCATAGGGTGACATGGAAGAACATCATAGGTTGAGGAAACATTACTTAACCACACAAATTGTTCAAAAGGAAATTTGATCTTTTGAATTATCCTAACATCTTCCATGAACTGGTGAATAAAATGATGCAATGACAATTTTCTTTTCAAACATAAACCAACCACAAAATGAATCTCAAAGGAAAAGAAACAGAAAAAGACAAAATGATGCTTCTATACCTCTTCAAAGTCATCTTTGGCTGAAGGAAGGTCAGTGGCTAAGCTAGAGTTGCCCAGGTGTTTCTCCATCCTCTCTCCATGTACCATTGTTGTTTTAACAACTTTACTGACTCTACGGCCTTCTACTGGTTCAGCCTGAAACTGTGAGGTACTGGACAAAATGCTGGGTTCAGACAATGTTACCTAATGAATGAAGGACACACAACAGACAATTCCTGACTGCAAGATGAAATAATGGAATTTTCTGTGCTGAGAAACAAAAACTGCAATATATTCTAGACTTCTAAACAATAGCATTTAGGAACAAAGTGGAGTCAGAAAAAAAATAATCAAAATTGGTGATATCTGTTTAAGGCCTCTCTTTGCAGCACCTAACGAGTCATTTGAATAAAACTTATCAGGCACATTTTTAAGAAACTGACAACTTCGATGTAGACTTGGTAATCTGTGCTTGAAAAGATTCCCTACATTTAAGTGCTTCCTATGTTTAAGTTGTTTCATTTGCCCCATGAAGATAAAGTCAACTCCCAAAGGAGGAACTTAAAAAGCAATCAGAAAGCCGGGCGTGGTGGCGCACACCTGTAGTCCCAGCACTTGGGAGACAGAGGCAGGCAGATCTCTGTGAGTTCAAGGCCAGCCTGGTCTACATAGTGAGTTCCAGGACAGCTGGGGCTACAGGGAGACCCTGCTTCAACAAGACAAAAAAAAAAAAAAAAAAAAAAAAAAAAAAAAGCAATCAGAAAGTAAAATAAGACAACCTGCTATCATCATAAGATTTTGAAGATATGAACTAATTCAAAACCCATGAGCATTTCAAATTGCATGTCAAAGAAAATCAGGATATCCTTCAAACAGGGAAGTAAAACAGAAAGAAACAAAACCATATATCAGGGAGTTTCTGGATCTTAATTTTAATACGCTGAAATGCAGAAGTCTGACTATCAAACACTTGTCTAAAGTGACTTTCAGAAGGTTGGTGTGCTGATGAGGTCCAAGCACCACAGTATATTTGGACACATTCTCTTCTTGACATGTGCCTGGCTAGAAAACGGGATTTTATTCTTCTAAAATTTAACTTTTGAATTCATACTGTGGTCAATTATGAATTATATAGAAAACAAAAATGAAAAGGAGCTGGAGAGATGGCATAGTAGTTAAGAGCAGTTGCTGCTCTTCCAGAAGACTAGAATTCAGTTCTTAGCACCCACATCAGGTGGCTGACAATTGCCCATGAGACTAGTTCCAAGGAATCCAATGGGACAGATTCTGTCCCCTGAGAACACCTGCACTATCATGTATATAACTGCCACTCAATAAACATAATTAAAAATAAATCTTTTTTAGAAAAGAAATTGACCAAACAAAGACAACAAGTATAATGGCCATAAAGCTTGCTAATGTAAAATTACACAAAATCATGACAAAGGAAAAAATAGTATAACCAAAAACCAACTGGCACATAATGTGGAGAAATGGGAGTCAAGGGGACCGACACAGTAGTTCTGCTTTGTTTTGTCCCTTTCTATTCAATGAGTCCTGCAGAGCTAGGTGGCCTCACCTCTGACTGCTTGGTGTCACTCTTCAATATCACACGCTTTATCACTTTGGAATAGTTGTCCCCATCCTCAATGTTGACAGGCTCCTGTGGTGTTCCCTGCATCATAATCTCCTCTTTCTCTGTGCCATCAGAAGATACATACCGCTTAATGATTTTCCGGGTAACCTGAAATACATTTCATGTATGTGTCTTTTTTTTTAAAGAAAGATAAGATCTCACTATATAGCACTTGCTATTATAGACCAGGCTGTCCTAAAATTCAGAAAGATCTACCTGCCTCTGCCTCCAGAGTGTTGGGGTTAAAAGTATGTGCTGCCACCCCTTTTTTTTTTTGGTATCTTATTTTACTTTATTTAATAATTTTATTTTCTGTGTATGAGTGTATTGCCTGCATGTGTGTAAGTGCACCTGTGTCATGCAATGCCCACGAAAGTCAGAAGAGGGTGCCAGATCCTCTGGAACTAGACTTACAGGCAGTAGTTAGCTCTATGTGGGTGCTGGAACTCAAACCCAGGTCCTCTGCAAGAGCAGCTAGTGCTCTTAACCACTGAGCCATTTCTCCAGCCCCCACTATATCTTATTTTTGAGTTATGATACCACATTAATAATAAATTTTAAGATCAGTTCTATACAGAGCACCTTCCAGTACCTTCTTCACCACAGTGTGTCCATACTCATCAATGTATTCCTCTTCTGTGACAGTTTCTGGGGGAACATCAGGCATATCATCTCCCTAAAAAGTTGTAAGAAAAGGGTTACTTCAGCATTTGGTACCAGAGGAACTATGTAGAAGTATTTTTAATGTGAGGAATGTTAGAAAACCAGATGTGATATTGAGAAGCATTGCTGAGATGCAAAATCCCGTCAGTTAACTTAACAAAGAAAACCAGCAGGTAGGTGAGAACATGCTCAGGAGAATCTTTCCAAAGTTCAGTAAAACTTATTAAACAACAAAAGCAGTTAGCAAGAGGAGAGGTGGGTAGAACTGAAAAAGCCTAATCTTGTTCTTGTATGTTGGCTTTTGGAAGCGTACTGCAAACCTTTTTAGCAGTAAATGAAATGGGATCTACTTTCCATGGCATGCATTACCTAAGCAGCATGCCAAACTTCTACTTTTCCAGGTCAATCACTCTCTTAGGACAAGGACAGAACCGTCCCTGGCATGCAATAATTTAACAGTGGGTACCTGGATAATCACTCTCCGATGGACAACCCTGGTAGTTACCATGGCCTCCTCATCAGAGCTGGCCTCCAGTTCCCCTAATTCCTCTGTTAGCTCCTGGTGGAAGCATGCAAGAACCATTGTTTTTTCACTTTTTTAATTTTTAAAAAATTTAATTAAAAAATATTTTTGAGATAGAATCTCACTTGGTAGACCAGCCTGTCTTGAGTTTGCAGTCCTCCTGGGTGTTAGGATTACAGATGTAGCAATCGTCCTGGTGTTGGGATTATGGATGTATGCCACCAAACCTGGTTGCACCACTTGTCTAATATGCTAAAAAAATGATTTTGCTATTGGTTCCTACTTTTGTCCACATTGTATTCAGAACACTCCATTCAGGGAAGCTTTCATGGAAAAACTCATCAGAGGAAAAATAAGTATGATCTTAAGCTTCAATAACCATATAGGGTATTTTTGTTCACTGAATAAAAAAGAAATTCTGCAATTCTAATCCTAAACTCCCAATAAATAGCTGTGAGAAAATATAGAACCCAAAAAAGTACAATTAGCACTTGCAAGCTATGGACATTCTTGTTTAGGCTTGGAATTATCACCCTGGCATAAAAAATTGAAGGCCTTGAACAATGTTAGACTCATTTTCCAGAGAAACAGAGAATAATATGATTTAGTGAGTTTGGCCCAAAGTAGGAGATGAGGCTAGGAACATAATTTTTTTAGAATAGTTGTCTCAGGAATCATATACAGAGTCAACTTTTTCCCCAATGGGATGCTATTTCCTTCCTTCCCTCCCCTCTCCTCCCCTCCCCTTCCTTCCCCATCTTCCCCTCCTCCTCCTTCTGTTCCCCTTCCCCTTCTCCTCCCCTCTCCTTCCCTTCCCTTCTCTGCTCTCTTCCTCCTTCTTTCCCTTCCATATTTTTTTTTGATAAGGTCTTGCTATGTGTGTATGCTAGGCTGGCTTGAAACTTTGTGATCCTCCTGCCTCAGCCTTCAGAGTACTGGGATCACAGTGGTCGGCCACCATGACCAGCTTGGAATGACACTTTTAAAAGGGAAAAAGTGAACTCAATTGGCATAATATGTCTTAAAATACCCAAGATGTAGCTCTACATTCTCTTCTGAAGAAGAACATATAAGTTAAAGACTAAATTATAAATTAAATACAATCAAGAACCTACTGCTAAGCAATATAGTCAGCAAGAAAAGCAACTAAAATTATATGTACATGTTAATGTCATGAGAAGTTAGGGGTCAATATGTAAAGCTTATGAAAGATGGCTTGAAAATCATCAAAAATAACAGGCTTGTAGGGGTCTGGAGAAATGGTTCAGTGGTTAGGAGCACTTGCTGTTCTTCCGGGACCCAGTTCAATTCCCAGCATCTGCTTGGCAGTTTACAACTGCCTGCACATATATGGTATACATATTCAGCCACACACACACATACACATGAAATAAACTAAATAAATGTGTAAAAATAAGAACCATCTTGTGTAAAATACGTGGAACACAAAATGATACCACAATTTACTTACCTGCATAGCCCATGTTAACTATATAAATTCACAAATGATTGTTTCAATCCTATTATGTTGCTTAGCCTATGGATTCTCAGGCTAACTTTAGTAATTTTTAAGCCCAGGTAGATGTATGAAACATTTTACTAGTATTCATTTAGGCCAAGAACTTGAGATGATAATTTTGTGCAAAGACAAATGTGGAGTAAAAGTCCATTCATGGGATGAACTAATTCTTTAAGATAACTGCCAAATTTAGAACATGGTGCTCATTTATTCATATTTTTCCTTCATTCAGTCGTTATTTTATATAAATTCTCATCTCAGATGTCATCCCAGAGTGAATTTTTTTAAAATGCAGATCTTGGTGTTGGAGAGGTGGCTCAGTGGTAAAGAGCAGTGACTGTTCTTGCAGAGGACCTGTGTTCAATTCCCAGCACCCAAGCGTGGCTAACAACTTTCCACAACTCCAGTTCCAGGGGAATCCGAAGCCCTCTTCTGACCTCTGCAGGCATTGCACACAGGTGCACCTACATACATGCAGGCAATACACTTATATACACAAAATAAAAGTGCAGATCTTAGGGGCTAGAAAGATGGCTCAGATGTTACAAGCACTGGCTGCTCTTGGAAAAGACCCAGTTTCAAATCCCAGCAACCACATGGTAACTAATAGCCACCCACAACTCCAGTTCCAGGGGATCTGATACCCTCTTATGTCCTCTGAGGGCACTGCATGGCATGAGTGTACTTATGTACATGCAGGCATAACACTCATATACATAGAATAAAAATAAATGTTTAAAAACTTAAAAAAAATGCAGATCTAAGGCCGGAGTGGTGGTGCATGCCTTCAATCCCAGCACTCGGGAGGCAGAGGCAGGTGGATCTCTGTGAGTTCAAGGTCATCCTGGTCTACAAAGTGAGTTCCAGGCCAGCTAGGGCTACAGGGAAACCCTGTCTCCAAAAGACCAAAAAAAAAGCAGATCTTAAATCCAAAAATGTGCTGTATTATATTCCCCTACAAATTCAATTCTTTTCTATAACAAATATTTTACTACTAAGCTTTATAGTGTTTTATTTATTTATTCTATTTTTAATTTATGCATATAAGTCTTTTGCCTGCATGTATGTAAGTGAACTATGTGTGTGCACTGCCCATAGATGTCAGAAAAGTTGTTGGATCCCCTGGAACTGGAGTTATGAACAGTTGTTAGCTGCCATGTGGGTTCTGGGAACTGAACTAGGTTCTCTGGAAGAGCAGCTCTTAATCACTGAGTCATTTACAATAATGCTTTAAAAATGCTTTTAAACATAAAATACTTTTTGAAACTTTTAAATTTCAAAAGAAAAATAATTTCTAATTTAATTTAAAAGGCATTACATGTAATGGAGTCTCACATCTCTTTGTGGAAGAAAGTCAGCTGGGTAGCTATTTAAAATGTATATGTGCTACCTCTCCATTCTCTGGGCTTTCTTCAGATTGAGGAGTTCTGAAGAGGGAGCAAACTCTTCAATCAATCTTAGGCATATGAACTATAAAGGCCACATTTTGAGAATCAGTGGTTTAAATATATCTCTTAAGAAAGTCTACACATCTGCTTACAACTTTAAAATTCTCTTTATGACAAAAGACACACTGTAACACAATCTCACATCACTAGCAAGCATTTGGTCAGTAAAAAATACCAGTCCGTTTAGGTATAATGTTCTTTTTCTAAGTTATTCCTAAAATAAATCTAAGGAATTCTAATTTGAATATTACAGTGGCAGAGGTGCTTGTATGCAGACCTAATGACCTAAGTTGGGTCTCCAGATTTCACAAGGTGGCAAGAGAGAACTAACTCCTAAAGAGTTTTCCTCTACACATGCAGTGTTGTATGTACATGTACACGTACACGTACACATACACGTACACACACACACACACACACATATACACACACACACACACACACACACATTATACTTTCCTGAGGAAAGTTTGAGAGCTAATCCCCAGGAATGCACAGTGGGTGTGCTCATCTCCAGATGATAACCCATGCAGATCTCATGGGACCACTGACTCAGAGTCATACTCACAGACTTTCAAGAGCTTCTTTCAATGCTATCACAACCTTTACACCTAACTACTAACTTTGCAAAGCTACACTATATTGCTATTGCACTACACTACAGTGTTCATTTTTCTTAGCAGAAGGATTTCTTATGATGAAATTAGGGCTTATAACCAAATAGCTAACACTGGAACCGTGTACTGTTTCTTCTAGATTTACCAGCTCTCAGGTTATCAAAGACTGAAGGTTTCCCATATCTCAATTTAACTTATCTGGCAAGCTTTTTAGTTTCAAAGTAAAAGAAATAAACCATTAGAGAAAAGGAAACCAAAAGAAGTTTTGTAGCTTTGCCTCTGGTGGGCAGGGCACATGGAGGAAGGAAAGCCTGACCTTTTGAAATGCTGCATCACCATCAAGTCTTTCGAAGGCCTGTGGTTGGTCATGGACTGACTCCACTATCAGGAGGCTGCCTTTCCCGGGAGAACTCTCTTCTCTGGGCTCAGAATCCTCATCAGGTTCTTGCACAATGGGAGAGCCACCACACTCACTGGACACCGGAGTCTGGAGGTACAGACTTTCTTCCTTAGGAGGGGTATGGATCTCTTCAGAAGTCTTGCTGGGAGAGCCAGAAACTGCTGTGGCCTTTTGAGTCTCTGACCCTTCTGTTACTGGGGTTGTCACACTGGAACACAAAAGCCAAATTATACCTCAGAATTTGCATTTATCCTGTGCAAGTTAGAGAATAAATAAATAAATTTGGTCAAGAAAGAAATACGAAGAAAAAGAGTACTATAAGATATAGTATGGAGTTACAGCTCATGGATATGGCAAAGAAGGAGTGATATACTCTAGCTTCTACAAAGCAAGAAGGTTATAATCAGATTTTTCTAAATTTAAATTTATTTTTATTGTATGAGTCTGAGTGTTTGGCATGCAGGTATGTAAGTGTATCTGTGTTGTGTAACGGCCGTGGCCTGAAGAGAACATTGGATCTCCTGGACCTGGCATTACAGATAGTTGTGAGCTGCCTTATGGGTGTTGGGAACCAAACCTGAGTCCTCTGTAAGAGGAACCAGTGCTCTTAACCTCTGAGTCATCTCTCCAGCCCCACATTAGACCTCGATGTCATATTAAAGCTTTGAAGAGCAGTGAGATGGTTCATCAGGTAAACACATGGTCTGCCAAGCCCAATGATCTAAGTTTAATCCTTGAAATCCACATGGCAAAAGGTGAGCACCAGCTTCCCCAAGCTGTACTCTTGCTTACACATGTGCCATGGCATGTACAAGTGCACGTGCTCATGTACATACTAAATGAATAAATGTAAAAAAATTTGGAGAGTTTTGCATAACGGGTTTGTAAATAATGCTTTGGAAGCAAGGATTAAAACATAGCATAATGAAATAAATTTCCATGTTAATATAGTTAGTATAACTATGAATATAAGGAGTCTGAAAATATACTTCTGAAAATCTATTATTTGATGGAGGGATCTGTTGACACTGAAACTTTTTCTACTGCTATAGTTTGAAGTAAATCCCATGCAACCTTTCAAAAAAAAACTCAATTTCTAAATAAGAACATTTTTTGCCTTTTCTGCTTCTCATTTTGTATTTAGTGCAGTTTTCTGTCATGTCCCTGATAATAAATGCCCCCAAACAGTTCTCTTTTCCTGTTACCTTTCCTGTATGTTCTCCCTTGAACTCTATGAGCTGAAGGGGAAGGAGGGAGCCTGAGAGGAAGAGATGGTTTTGTTTCATTTCATGTAATTTCTCTCTCTTCTCACGTTCCAGTAAGCAGAGAACAAATTTCAATGTCAAAGGAAGTTCTGGCCTGTGAACTCTTGATACACTGTTCTTACATTTGCCTCTCTCACGATCTGCTTTCATTTCCCGGACAGCTAGTGCCATTTAAGCAGCTCTCTTCTTCACATTCATAAAGCCCAGTGCTTAAGTTCTGAGCTTAGTGCTGGTCTACAACTTCCTTTAACCGTACACTTTCTATAAAACTCTTCCCTATGCTCACTATATCCCTGTCCCATCTCATTTTAATCGCTTTGTATTCTGTGTGAATAATTTGTGCTGCATTTATATTTTTATAAATGTTAACTGGAACATAACTTTATTGAACTATATTGGGGGCTGCTATTTGTAAACACTGACTATTCAGACTTCAAACAGTTAGCCATGGTAGTGGACCCCTGAGTGGGAGCATTCCAGAGCAAATGAGGAGTAGCAAACCTATAAGTAATGCCTGTTATACAGAAAGGTGTACATTGCAACAGTACATTCACAGACTTAGCTTTGGTGTCTGGTTCTATTAAATAAGCAGTATGTATATAATTATCATAATTTGTAGATGTGGAAATTCAGACTCAGAGTACTTTGGGACTGTCCAAGGTCACAGAAGTGGATGTTGGCTCAGGCAGGGCTGTGCCATACAACAGCATCACAATTATGTATCTTAAATGTTTCAGTCTTTTTCTACAGCAGTCTCATTTGTTATAGGTGGGTCATTTTAATATTATTTGAAATATTCACATATGGACCCAGTACCCTGTCATGTCAGCTTTCTTTGAACTGCATTTAACAGGCTTTCTTCTGCAACTCACAAGTATTCCTGCTGATTGACAGGCATATCTTGCATTTTCCCTGAGAAATCTTGCTGAATTGGCTCCTTGTGCATTTGGGGAGAGACTGCGGTTGCTGAGCTGTCCTCTTCAGTTTGGGGAATGCAATCCTGAAACGTAGAATAACTAACAGAAATGTCTTCTTCTGAGACGATGGGCGGATGGTCACGGGACTCATTCTCCCCAGAAGCACCTTGCTTCTCTTTCTGCTTGTGCCATGCAGAGCTGAGCTCCTCTTGAAGTACTGAGAACCCTGGATGGAGGGAATAATGTAAAATTTTAATGGGATCTCACTTATATTAAGGGGACTTTTACTAAGGAACTGCTGTGTTCCAAGTCTTGAAATAGAATCATGGGTTAGGAAAATGAGCAAGATGCTGTGTCTGACTTCAGGATGCTGATCTGCTCAGGAAGCCCAGGTGAGCAGGAATCAGGTCAGATTCATAGTGTTCTGTGAATATTGAGAGCACTTCCTCAGCGTTAAACAAGTTTGGAAAGGAAATGGGGAGAGAAAACTGCATGAAGGAATCCAAATGATAAGCAGGAGTGTCTTGTGATAGTATAAGAGGGATAGTCAACAATGATATAGTCTCAATAGCTACTCAGTACCCTGCAAATATTAACTGCTTAATCCTCAGTACAACACTCTGTGGTTAGTATTCTTCTTATGTAGAAACTCATGTAATACTAAGGAATTTCATTACTTCCAGAGCAATGGTTGAGTTACTGAAAGATCTAGTAGAGGAAGAGGAAGGTGTTGTGGAAAGTAAATGAAGAAAAAAAAATTTTTTAAGGAATTGAACCATGTATGGTGGCGAACCTTTAGTCCCAGCACTCTCGGGGCAGAGGCAGAGGCAGAGGCAGGTGAGTTCTATGAGACAGAGGTCAGCCTGGTCTACATAGTGAGTCGTAGGCCAGCTGGGGCTATAAGGAAACCCAATCTAAAAAAAAAAAAAGGGTGGGGGGTTGAATAAAGAAGACATTAATTATTTTGTTCAAATAATTGCTTCCAAGGTGTGAAGAAATTTGAGCACAGAGATCTGGCAATGAAGGGAAAACTACTGAATTTGAGAAGATGGCCAAGAGTTACTAGAGAGTCTTCAAGAGAAGGGGAGAGATGGAGAAAGGAAATTCCAATTCTTCTGTTGAAAAGGTTTCCTACAGAATCCACAAAGGAAGAGCACATACAGTGATGGGACCTATTTGTTTTATTTTTAAAGACGGGATTTCTCAAATTGTATTTTAATGCCATTTGAGCATGGTTCTAGTTACACAAATCCAAATGGATACTTTCTGGAGTGAAGCTGTCATTATGTAAATAGAGAATGAAATGCAGTACAAATGGTGCTATAATGGCTTTATCAAAATAAAGAAATTTAGCACTTTGTGACATAAGGGACCGTAGGACATGCCCACACACATGCTTCTTCTTGATAGAGTTTATAGTGGAAGAATGTTGACATTTGCTTATAATCTTATTTTTCTAGGAAATATGAAGAATGGTCATCATCTAGGAATAAATAGGGAGAGGAGAAATATTTGAGATTTAAAGGAAGAAGATAAAGTACAAATTGGGGGGAAAGAGATAAGGAAAAGAATGAGAGTAAGAGAGAAAGGTAGGGAAGAAGAGGGGAGGGAGGGAGACATACAGAGAGAGAGAGGCACAGAGCAAGAGAGAGAGATAGAGAGAGAGAGAAAGAGAGAAGAGAGGAGAGAGAATGAGTGAGAATTATAGAATATTGAAAGGTGGCAAAGCAGCAAGTTCCAATGGATCTGAGGAATTATTAGTACAGAAATAAAAAAGGAAGTATGATGTTTTAAGTAGTACAGTACACAAATTGTACAGCTGTACAGTTACTAGTACTGGCACAGCCTTGGTTGAAAACATAGAAATTTGTGATTAATGTACAACAAAAAATGTAAATATCAGAAGTAGCCTCAGGGAACTGAGGGAAAGGAACTAGAGGAGCCATGTTGCAAATGAGACATTGAAGAATGAGCAGTGGGGGCACCAGCTAAACAGAAAGGGAATCTGAAGAAGTAAGGAAACAAATATTTGATGGCCAAAGACTGTGATCTGCTTCCTAAAAAACACAAAGGCAGTAAGTCTAGCTCATGACTTGCATTCCCCTCCTCCCACATCACTTGACCTTCACTATGGTCCAACACAATGGTCTGCTCAATTTCCGCATAGCTGTGGCTGATGTGCTCCTGGGGAGGTTCTGTGCTGGTCACCATGAGATGTACAATATCCATCCGGTTAATCTTGGTGAGGCATTCAATGAGGATGATATCTGAGACATTACAGGAGAAGTATTCATTATAACTGAGTTGTGCTTTTAAAAAATTATCTTTCATTTAATTAAATGAAACTAATAAAATTTTCGATATTCATATAGGTAACTGGAAAGCCTAATTAGGACCTTGTAAATAGAAGCAAATAGAGCTCTATATACCACACAATACAGTACAAGCCCTAAAATCAGAATTGCCAGATAAAATACAGGATACAGACCAATCTGGATGTTAGATGAAAATACAGACTTTTAAAATATCTCAAATAATGCATAGAATATATTTATATTGAAAGATGTTTGTTGACAATCTGGAATTTAAGTTAAACTGAATGTTCTTATGTTTTGATTTGCTAAATCTCCATTTGTGAAGCATATGGAGAAAAGAAACTGTAGGGTAAGTGAGAGGTCTACAGGCAGACATTTAGGGAAATATGAAAGGAATGCTGGGAGTATGTGAACACAGTCCACCACACTTCCTCTTTTATTCTACGTGATAAAAATACTGCATATCAATCAACATAAAGAATATTTACTTGTTATTCCCCCCTACACCTAAGTTATTTGGGAGGGAAGAAAACAGAAACTGAAGGCAATGCACTTCCAATAAACAACTACAAAACTGCCTACCAACCAACACTTAGAAAATTCTAGGTCTTGATGACATTCTCTTAGCTGCTACTGGTATCATTTCTAAACAGTTGATACTGCTCACAAACATTCTGTCCAAGACTTTTCACATCACAAGTACATTCTAGAAATGATGGCAGCTTCTTCTCAGTTCTTTAAATTGGTTACATTGAGCATTTATTTTACTGATTTTGTAAGAACAAGATTACTGGGCAAGCCATTTCCACCTTAGTCTAACATCTGTAACTTAGCATTCACCACTTACCTGTGGCATGCTTCCCATCCCTTTCCAGCCAGTACTTCAAAAGTTCATGGCTCTGGTCTTGAAGGGAGTTGGGGTTCTCAATTCGAATTTGGTGAATTTGCTCCTCAGTAAAATCCAGTTCTCTTGCTAATTCTAGAGCAGAAAATACTACGTTGTCAACACACTGATTTCAAGTTTGAGTCTCAGAGGCAGGCAGATTTCTGTAAGTTCAAGGCCAGCCTGATCTACATAGCGAGTTCGAGGTCAGCTGGGGCTACAGAGAGACCCTGTCTCAAAAAGACCAAAGAAATCAAACCAAACCAAACCAAACCAAACCAAAACAACAATCAAGTTTGAGTCTCTACACTTTGCTTCATGATGTGAAAAATCATATGGCCTTGTATTATTTTAACTACCTGGGTTAGGAGTGACTCGTATACTGCCATGGATGTGAGGAAAAGGGGCTACTTATTCACTATTGGTGGGAGTGCAAACTGGTGCAGCTACTGTGGAAATTATTGTGGAGATTCCTCAGAAAGTTAGAACTAGGTCTACTACGTGATCCAGTCACACCACTCTTGAGTAATACCTAAAGAACTCTACACCATACTAAAGAGACACTTGTTCATTCATGGTCATTGCTGCTGTAGTCACAATAACCAGGAAATGGAAACCTAAATATCCATCAATTGATGAATGGGTAATGAAAATGTGGTACTGTGCTGGATATCTTCAGCTGTCAACTTAACACACCTTGGAAAGGGGACCTCAACTAGGGAATTTCCTCTTTCATACTGACTTGTGGGCATGTCTGTGAAGCATTTTCTTGATTGCTGAGAGATATGGGAGGGCCCAGCCCACTGTGGGGATACCATTCCTGCACAAGCTGAGCACAAGCCAGGGAGCAAGTCAGTAAACAGCATTTGTTCCATGGTCTCTGCTTCAGTTCCTGCCTCAAGGTTTCTGTTCTGAGTTCCTGTGGTAGACTATGACCTGGGAGATATAAGATAAAATCAACCCTTTCACTCCCAAGTTGTTTTTAATCAATGTGTTTTTAATTACAGCAATAGAAAATAGCTACGGCACATACATTTAGACATGGAATATTATTATTCAGCTATTAAGAAATACAAAATTTTGAAATTTGTAGGTAAATGGAAGGAGTTAAAAAAAATCCTGAGTGAGGTATCCCATATGCAGAAAGCCAAATGTTGCACATTTTTTCTCTTATATGGATACTAGCTTTGAATTTTTAGATATGTGTGTTTCATTCAGAAAACCCATAGAGGTCAGGAAGCTAGTGAGGGGGCAATGGAGAATCGGGCTTTCAAGGGAGGGGAGAGAAAATGCAACAATACAAAAGAGAAAAGAGGAATAATGGAACAAGAAGGGTTAAATGGGCAGGGGGATGCGGGATGGGATAGAGGAGGGAGCATGGAAAGGGATAACTAACACTAAAGGCCCTTTGAAAAATAATATGGAAACCTATTGCTACATAAGCTTCCTAAAATATATACATATACATGTATAAAAAGTTTAAATGGAGTTACAACAGAGTGTCAATAGCTCTACTGGACACAACAGACTCCCAAATAAAAAGCCCAGAGACAGGAATGGGTTACTTTTTTTAAAGTTGTTGCTCCAGTGGGATCCCATATCCTCCCACCCCAACATTTCTGGCTATTATCATTGCTCTTGGTTGCTCTCCAGAGCTTGACAGTAAAACCCTATTACTTAAGACAATACATACTTGAGTCACAGAACATGAAGAAATCGAACTGGTACTGACCTTGAAACTTTAACTCTTCTGGCTGGCTTTCAAAGTGCTAGAAGGTTCTATGCACTCTTTTGGAGGATAACCCTGTGAACCCAGCTGTGAATTTTGTGAACAACAACTGGCACACTGTACAATAGTGGCATGAGTGTTATTGGAGTACTCAACACTGATTGATTTAAGGCTCATTCCCCAGATAGAACCATTATCAGGGCCAAGAATCTGTGGCTAGATAGGTCACAGACTGTAAGGGAGATCCTACCACTATTATTAAACCAACTCCTAATGACTTATTCTTATATCTATAGATTAGTGCATCTCTCAGCTCTCATTAAAGAAGCTTCTTCTGTAGTAGATGGAAATTAGCACAGAGACCACAATTCGTCAACATGTAGAGAACAAGATTGTGGAGTGCTTAGACCTAAATGGAACGTCTACATCTTAATCCTCCCCAAAGGCTGAGGGATTTTGTTATGGAAGAGAGGGCAGAAATATTTTAAAAGCCATAGATGGTGGATGACTACAAACAGTTTTTCAGACACAATAGGGTACATATGGATCAATAGTGGTTGTGACAGTATGCACAAGACCTGTGGAAACTTAAGTCAGACATAATCCCAGTATGGATGGAGGAGGGATGCATGAAGCCCCACCCTAGTTAAAGAGCTATTGATAATTAATAGCTGCTGTGAGGAGACTTGGTTTTCTATAAGGGTATGGTGCTGGGTAGGTTGACAAAGCCTCAGCTATCCTGTTTCTGGATATGTGCATAAACACCGGTTGTAGCTATAGTATGGAGATCAGGTTGACTCCTTTCTTGATTTGATGCCATATGCATGAAAAGTCTAGGAAGCATTAATTGGTCTAGGACAGAAGTCAAAATGTTTCTCTATTTTACCATTAATGTTCTATATGGATGCTTGTATTCTGGTGTGTGCAGGCATCTGTGTGTGTAAAAGAGGAACGTACTGTCAGCTTGACAACATCCTTTAACACTAAAAACATCTTTTACCAGTAATTGTACTCTGGAAGTAGTGTGAATTATATTTAATTTTCCTTTCATTTCATTTTATTTAGCTAGTAGGTTTACATTTTCAGCAAATTTATACTTACCACATTTAATATGTGTATGGGTACATATATATCTAAGGAAAATAATACATATATATCATATTAACCAGGAATATTATGGCATCATTCCCTCCTTCAAATCCCTCAGTTAAATGTCTGATGAGTATTTCAATACGATTCTAAAACTGAAATAGAGAAAATGCCTCTTCTTACTGTTTCCAGTCATTTATTCTAAATTATCAATTCTCTTTAAAAACATTATTGACTCCTATTCATTTCCAGATCTTTTTTTCCAGTTAATTATTTATTTAATAACCACATACTTAGAAGAAGCATTTCATTACAAGAGCATTGACATATTCAATAACAATTTCCTGAGCTAAGATGCATCTCTTTTAAAATTGGCTGTAAATTTTTAGGTTTACAGTTGAATTAATACAGTTATACAATATTATACTCCATATAATCCCT